GGGCAAAACACGGTCGAGGGCACGGTCGTGTTTTGCCTCAGCCCGCCCGTGTTTTGCCAAGGGTTAATTACACGGCCAGACTGTTGGGGAAAACACGGGCGTGCTTTTGGTGGACACGGCCGTGCTTTTCCTCAACCCTGCCCGTGTTTTGAGCTCGTGTTTTTCAACCCCATATAAAGTCTCGGCAGTAAAAGCACGGCCTAGGAACACGGCCGTGTTCTGCTTTAGGTGTGCCCGTGTTTTGGCTCCAACTTCACCGAATGACTTCCGAATGCCCCGAAACTCGTTCTTAGCCTTTCCTTTGACGCCTGGGACCTGAAATATGACAAAATAGCACAACTCGGCGTAAAATAGGCCAAAAATACACGACTATGCCCCTCAAACGGATAAGAACTAGGGGCGCAAATATGTGCAATTACATCGTTATCATCTACCAATTGTCGAAACACATTGGTGCCATGAACAAAGTCAAAAAGAAGTCTTTCTTTATGGTGTCTTATAGAAATGTTATTATATGGCTAGATCTAAGAATAAGTGTTAGTTTTAACTGAGGGTTCTTATAACCCCAATTGTTATAACTATTATGAGATTAGTAGGGCTCTCCGAGCTCCTAGGCCCGATCGTTCTACTTTCAGTGAATATTTAAAAATTCACTTGACACGTCCCGATCCTTTTTGAAAACCAAACCACAACTCAAACCAAAAATCGGTTACTCCGGAGCAACCCAACCATATTTTAAAATAAACAAACTAACATCTTTTAAGAATTTTTAACGAAAAGTCCCAACACTTGGGCAAAATTCCCAATCTCAAACAGTTAAAACGACTTAACACAGAATCTCCAGTTTATACTAATAACCATGAAACAGAAAAATTAACTAATCTAACTTGACTCCTCACGAGCTTTCCGATATCCCAACGACGCAGGTACTGCTACTCGCCTCGCCCTGCTTCTTCTCGTGATCCACTTCTGTTAGACTATCCTCAACCTGGTGAGTGAGAAGGGGTCAGTCTCGTCGTTAATTCCTAAGGTCTTTGCCCTAGGCAACTCCTTACTAAACACATTATTAGGGGAATGCCTTCCTTAGACGAAAGTCGTTCTCACTTTCATCCTATAAACTTTACTATCAATAGTCTATAAGAGATTTCTACTCCTGTCTTATCTTTAGAATTCCCTTACTTAGGTTCTTAATAACTCCTTTCAACTTTAACTCATAGAGGTTCTCAACTTCTATCCTTATCTCAACACAAAACACTAGGACCACCGTGTTACGTCTCGCCGCGCGGTGTCCTACCCTAGTATGCCAACCGCGTTACGTCTCGCCGTCCGGTTGCATACCCAAACTCGGCAATGGCACTGCGTTACGTCTCGCCGTCCAGTAGTGACCCCAACATACTCGATCAACTGCTGCGTTACATCTCGTCGTCCAGTAGTGACCCGACCATCTACCGCGTCCAGTAGTGGCCCAACCGCCCGGGGGGTTCCTCATATCATCAATCCATACAACATCACATACATTCATACATAGCACAACGCGTGCCTCCACCCTTACAGGCGGTGGGATGCCTCACACACATATCGCGCATACTAGAAAATTAACTAAATAATAACTTGAACGAAAAGCGGAAACTAAAAGACCTACGACAGAGATTTTACCCCCTTTAGACTCACCTCGAAAAGATGACTCCTCAATTCCTTCCTCGAAGAAACCCCTCCTTAGCCGGATTATCTTAGGGAAACCTATTAATAAGAATCCATTTTCTTAGACGACCTTTCTTGATTTAAAACCCCTTTTGAAACACTAGAGAATCCTCTCCTCAAAATCCAGTCCTTGAACCTCATTCTAAGGGTCCTTTAACCCCCGCTAAAATGTTCTAGAATTAATCCTTTCAAAAACGACCATTTTTCTTAATTATTCTAGTCTTGGACGAATTTTCTACCTAACTAGAACCTTCTAAAAATTTCGGATAATAATTTTCCTACATCAATCATGAGTACTTATACCCTAGAAAATTATCAAACCCTTATAAAATCCTCGGAAATATTTTTATTTACTTAAGACAAAAGTTAGAACAATTTGTAAAAATAGAAATAAATCTTCAAAAATCTCCAAATTAAATTACAGCCATCTCCTAGACGTCGCTCATTTATAAAATTGTTAAATTCAAAAAACAACCTTCAGAGAGGCTCGAAACAATTTAACATAAAAATCCAAAAATACGTTTCTGAAAATTCCCAGCAGCTTTACTGACCAATCAAAATCTGTCACTAAAAGCGTGGAAAGCCTGTTGCTAAAACCCCAGAATTCTTCCCTCACGAAAAATCTCCAAATCAATCGACCTAAGTCAAAGGGATCGAGTTCTCTTACCTCTAGAATGTGCCTTGTACTAGATTGGATGACTTGGGACGTTGATCTCCTCGTTGATCGAACCCTCAAACGTCACCGCTAGAACGAAAGGGATGGGGTCGGGAGTCGGCGCTCCCTTTCTTCTTCCTTTTTCCTTTTTTGTTCTCTCCGCCTCGCGTTGCGGACTCAACTTGGCGGCTGTGGAATTTTTGCTGCCCAAATAAATGGAGAGGCGGTGGGGAAATAGGGCGGGGGTTTTGGGATTGCTGGGGTGGGAATTGCTGGGAATTATTGGCTGGGGGAATAATTATTTGGGGTCGTGGAGGCGCCCAACCTCCTTGGGCCGACCCTTTTTTTTGCAATAATTATATTATAATAATAATATTATTATTATTCTTAATCCGCAGTTATAATTCTTAGTACGTAACCGTCAATCCAACCGATCACGAGATAAAGTCGAACCTAAATCTAAAATACCGGGGTGTTACATCACTCGAGTAGGAGAGAAATCTGCCCCGCGTTGACTAAAACCGGTCTGAAGAAGAAGCGCCGGGCTACACTCCTTTGGCTATTGATCGGTTGTTGGCGAAGATGAAGAGATTAACCTGCACCTGCACGCGCTCCGGTCTATCGTTGGCCTTGCCTGACGTACGATATAGTAGTGTCTGTCAGAAATTTATCTGACTTAAGGAGTGGAGTAAGCACGAAGAGGCACCCACCGTAGAGGTCTCGACTACATGGTCCTGATAATACGCTTTGTTGGTAGGAAATGGCCTATCCCACCTGAGGAAGGAGATGGGTACCTAAGCACATTTATTCCTCAAGCTGTCGACTGTGTCAGTCGGAAGTGCATACGGCAGATCAGCTTCCTCTTCGACGATTCGACCCATTGCATCATGCGAGCTCGGCTCCGTCTTGAGCTGGATCCTGGATTGAAAGATCTAACTCTGTCTATTCCACGCCGAGTAAAATCCTTGACACTTTCGGACACCATCATCTATTTATTAGCTAGGGACATACGATACAGTATAGCTATTTGCTCCATACTCGGATTTTCCCTGTGGTGGACTATAGCTAATGAGCAATTAGTACTCAAACCTGAAGCTCTAAGCTCTGTAGACCTTCCTACACTATATAGGGGAGTTCAAGATAAATTTATTCATAATGTATGCACTACACACCCAGAGGTTAGCAGTCCTTGTGAGTGTGGAGAGCCACTGAATAATGAAGTTAGGACCCTTTCACAGCCTGAGAGTGAGCAGAGAAGGTTGGACTTGATTTTACCTTTTTTACTTTCATGTGGAAAACAGGGTGGGGCCCCTCTGGTCCGGTTCAATCAGTGTCTTCCGCGACGAGATACTTTTAAGTAAGGCCGCAGGGTACCTTCTTCGCTTAGGAAGAATCAAGAATTACATAAACATGCTTATCGAAAGCCAAGCGGGGTACGCCTCAGGGCGAGACTAATCCTTCTTACTAAAGCATAAAGAGCCGCGCATTCAAATGTGAAGGGATCGGTGTAGAACTCAACCTCTCCCCTCGTACCAACGCTAGTTGCAGTCGCTAACCTCTGGGTCATAGAGCTGTTTCCGGAATTATAGGAGGGGTAAATGACCTTTGGTCTTGTCACGAGCTGGATTCGAACGAGCGCTTCCCAGATCCGCGAAAACACCGGATTTCAACCTTTCGGATCGTGACTTTAAAAAAGAAAGAATGGGGAGTTGGCGCCGTTTAACGGATTGCTTGCTTACCAAGCCATCCAGGCTTTGCACTCCTCCCCCGGCCGATCGAGTCTGCTTTCAAATTCGTGTAAAAGTTGCTAATTCTACTTTCTAATAGAGTCGTTAATTCCGCAGCTCGGGGAGAGAATTCCATTTCTCCCTAAAAAATTCGAATAAAAAGCAAAGGAGTCATGCCGCTGACAAAGATGCTATGTATATTTAGATTAGATCCCCTCCAACCCATACTCGTTATCAATCTGCATTTCCAAGTAGTTTTATCATATAGAAAAAGTCGAACCCACGTGTTCTTAGATCTTGTTCAACTTGATTCAGAAAAGATATTTCCCGGCCGTCTTTTTCGGCTGGGCTCCATTCGGGGTGGGTGTCCAGCCCGTCCCGCTTTTCCTGATGAGGGAATAGAGTAAGGGGCGACCTTTTATTAAAACAAATAAGTAGGTGTAGGTAAGGACAGATATGGTTGTGTAATCCTCTACCGAATCTCTTGAAATGAATGCTATTTTGCTAAACCCTTTGCTTTTAAGGTAAATGGCATAAGGCAAAGCCTTTCCCTATCACGACCGCCTTGTCCTTATTGCATTAGGATTTTGACTAAGATCGGATAAGATCACCAGCAGCAGTTGATGATATAACACCCACACCAATTACTGATTAACTGACCCCAACACCGACAACTAAAGCACTGCTTCCTTATATATGACCAGGAGCTCCTAGGCTTACAAAGTAAAGTAGTGACACAGAAGACCTCGTTTTTTTCTTCTAAGGGCTAGTCTTTAAGCTTCAAAAGAAGATTACCATGGATCTCCGCTATCCTCATTGCTTAGTAGATGGTTTGAGGATAGACTGAAACAAGAAAAGACCGGAAAAGATAAGAAGTAAATACAGCGGAGCAGTACTGAGCTACGGATACGCTTTCGAAAGATTTTGACGATCTATTCCTTAATATAAGACTTTTGCAATTATGGGCTGAGAGCCCCTCCCCGATCACGAATAATGGGATCTCTTTGACTGCTTCACCGTACCGGTGGATTAGTCGACTCCCCGTGGTCGAAAGATAGGAGCGAAAGCAACTCGACTCTAAAGGAGAGGAGCAGGATTCTCGGTCGGCTTCAAGGAGTGGGGCAGGGGAAAGGAAGACTTTGGACTACTGGGGTAGCTGGGCCAACCCCTAATAGATCAAATTAAGAAAGAGGGAGTGAACGACATATAATATAATCCGAATGGGAAGTTTTGAGCAATCGATTCTTTCTCATGTCGGGCATAATTATTCGTGCCCACTAATCGAATAGGTTTACTCGCCCACCATGTCAGCGCCTTCGGGTTAGTTCTTTCTGTCATAACAATTCTGCCCATAGAAGTCCCCCACAAGATAAAGAATGCTTGTTGCCGCCTTGGCCGGCTGTCTTGGTTCTTCGTTTAGCTTTCTGGCATATTCTACGGAGCTTTCTACTTTTCCACTCTGTAACTGGGTTGAAGAAAAACCTTCATTCACTAGATGTGAAGCAACCATCCTAATGGGGAAACCTCTTACCCGCTCCCCCCCCCCCCCCGCCGCAGGGGGGCCTCACTGTCTCACTGTCACCTTTGGTTCGAGCTACTTTTCTTTTCTGGAACGGATAGCTTTCTGCCCAAGTCTATCTTCCAAAAAGAAGCCATTTGAACAACCTTCTTTTTTTTTGCCCCCGAATCATTTTACCTTGAACGAATTTCCCTCGTGCCTTCCGTCCTTTACTATTAAGCGTCTTTCTTTTTCGTTTTTCTGCCTTCGGAACAAAAAAGAAAGAACCCAAGCATGAAAAGAAGGAGGTCCATTCCCTTAATCCACGTTTCCAGCCAGTTTAAGGTAGGAAAGTAGGGCAAAAAATAGAAGAGAGCGGAAAAGTAGAAAGGCATTAGAAGTTGCTTTTCCTGGGGTATACTTGGGTCAAATAAGTATACCCCAAGGAGAAATAACAGGTGAAGCAAAGGCCAATGGGAAGATACCCGGGAACCCCTTACCTAAGGGGGCGGCTTCTTACACAGGAACTCACTCAATAAAGTAAACAAAACAACTTTGAATAGCGATATACGGGCTAGCCGGAATGGCTGAAAGAGCGTAAGCTTTCCAATGGAATCTTTCCTAAAAGCGTTCGAACATCGACGACCACTCCTCTTGTTCTTGGTTAGCTTTGAAGGCAGTTCTGAGTGAGGCTTCTATGAGCTAGTGGCATCGCGATCGATTTGGTCACTGATCTGGTTTCCTGGAGTGGAGTTCCTTGTCGAATCTAATGATGATACATTGCATTTATTGGGCTTTATACCCCAACCAAATATTCTAGGGAAAGAGAGAAAAATTACTTCTTTGCTATGATTGGCACATGCCTGACAAGTAGGTTGGTATAGCTTTGAGATTCTGAAAAAGGGCTGTTCACATCAACGCTAGTCGATGTTTGTGATACGGGTGCTTTGGAATCGATAACATCTGTTCCTTGATCCGTTGCTGTTTGGATTTCACTCTGTTCATTACTCATCTTTTATTCCTTCATAAAATTTCTTCTTTTCCAATATCAGAATACATTTGTATCACCTGTTCAAAAGAAAGCCCTAGGCTTGATGCTATACGAACCGCCATGCTCCGCTTACCTTCTAAGTGGGCAAGATTCAGCGAATTCCCCTCTTCAAAAGAAGATAAAAGACCGCCCTCTCGCATCAAATCCATCAAAACCCAATGTGCGTCATCTGTGGCAAAAACACTCTTATACAATCGTAGCCTTTTCTCGTCTTCTTCCATCTTTTCGGCTAAAACCACGGGTCCGAAAGCTTTGTCTCTAATCTTCTCAGCAAACCGCTTAAAATCAATCATAGATGCTCTCCCTCATGTCCGACTTCATCTTCTCCGTCATCACTTCTCCTGCCACTTTCGCCCGCCCCTGTTTCCATCCCTATTTGCTTTTGTTGATACGCAAGCTGTTGCTCCTGCATCTGTGCCATCTGCTCCCCTCTTTGTTGACGGATTTTGCCTACTTCCTCCCAATCATGAATAATATGTGCAACAGATGGCTCATAATACTCTAACCCTTGGAACCGAGGCTTGGCCATCCTTCGTTTGAGATTCCAAAGCACCCGTATCACAAACATCGACTAGCGTTGATGTCAACAACCCTTTTTCAGAATCTCGGGCCGGACGGAGATTGGCCCTTGACTGCAATACCCACCCGTCGAGCAGGGACGAAAGTCGGCCTTAGTGATCCAACAGTGCCGAGTGGAAGGGCCGTCGCTCAACGGATAAAAGTTGCTCTAGGGATAACAGGCTGATCTTCCCCAAGAGCTCACATCGACAGGAAGGTTTGACACCTCGATGTCAGCTCTTCGCCACCTGGGGATGTAGTATGTTCCAAGGGTTGGGTTGTTCGTCCATTAAAGTGGTACATGAGCTGGGTTCAGAACGTCGTGAGACAGTTTGGTCCACATCCGGTGTGGGCATTAGAGCATTGAGAAGACCTTTCCCTAGTAAGAGAGGACCGAGAAGGATGCACCTCTAGTGTACCAGTTATCGTGCCCATAGTAAACGCTGGGTATCCAAGTGCGGAGCGTATAACTAATCCCTCATGGCTAAGATAGGTTGGTCCAGAGCTAGCTAGTGTTCAGAAGTCACTTAAGAGATTGAATATGGTTATATTAGAATAGGCTGTAGACGCAAAGATATTGAGATGGAACGAACTCTCGACCTACTTACTACAACCCATGAATAAAAAAGTCCGTCTAGGCCTTCCCTCTCGCTCTGATCCCCCCCTCCCTATGCCTAGGACGTTGTCTGGGCCAAGAGCCATAGTTAGTTGCTGTTTTCATTTGGTTGTTTTTTTCTCGTTGTTGATACCGGCAAGACCCAGCCGGATGATGTCTACTGGTTGGTAGTGAGAGGACTCTTAGTATCTGCATACCCAAAAGGGGACGCTGATTAAAAAAAAACTATCATTTCCATTTTTTCTTGCTCTTCCTTAGCGGCGAGCGGGAAAGGAGTCTATCTATCTGCCTAGCTTTGGTAGATTTCCCCCAACGCAATCCACAAAAATTCCACGAATCCCTTGGTGGATAAGTCCGACGACTCAGCAGCAGCGCGGAATTAACTTTCTCGTCCAGTGGATTTTTTCTATAGTTAGGGGGCAATACATACCAAAAGGTTCGAAGAAGGAACGCACATAAGAGTCTATAATCAACCCACCCTTCTGTATAACCTATTCAGATTAGTGAAGCGGCTGGATGCATAAGGGAAGTGTACGTTTGTGAGACCTTAGTCAGGATGCATAGGGGAGTCAACCTACGAGCACGGAAGAGCTGCGGTAGTTCGTAGCTTGTCTTTCTTTGATAAGTAAAAAGTGACGTGGCGTGTAGTGAGCTTTCTGGCGGAAAGGCAGACTTGAAACTGACTTACAGCTTGCTTTGCTCTGGAGGGAGCTTCCTGAGTCAGACCAACTCGGCTACCGAATCGTCTGAATGGAATGTATTTATTAGGAAAGCAGGAAAGCGGATGTTCACTCACTAAAAGAGCTCAACAAAGTCACTCCTTGAAAGAGGTTAGAATATGCTCGACCGATCCATAATAGAGGGGGGCCCCACCTAGAAAGTTGTTCAGGCATTATGCAGACCTTATTTTGAGACCTGTCCTTGAGCCCGGCCCATGTTGTCAAGACTGAGTCAGCTAACTCTCTCCTTAACCAAAGTCTAGCTCCTAACCAGAGTTGCCCTCCTACCACATCTTAGTCTGAATCATCAGCTATCCCTTCTCTCCCCGCACCCTTGATCTTCCTTATAATTTATTTCTCCTTTGGAAAGAAAGTGGTTATTTGCCTTTCTATCAAGCCAATGAAAAGGTGGGGCGTGGTGCTCTTTCTCATAAGGCTATGGCGGATTTAAATCATTTTCATTTGAAGGAGGAAGCTGGCCTTTTTGATTGATCCCGTTTAGGACAGATTTGAACCTGTTGATCATCCTGGTAATACTCGAAAAAAGGTCGCAGGAAAGAATACGCTCGACCAATAGGGTTCAGAGGGATAGGCCCTCTCCCTATCGGTCGAGTGGTTTTCTCACCTTTCCCTTTTGAAGTGATATAGATTAATGCCTTGGCTGGGGAGCCTAGGCCCACAGGAAAACGTTTGCAGATGCGACCATGATTGGAACTAGATCGAAAGATTCAGCTGTCGACTGACAAACTTTGCCGAAACGTCGACCACAATTGAAGGATGGCCAAGCCCCGGTTCCCAGGGTTAGAGTATTCCCTATTATGAACCTACTCAGATCATACCAATGGAGTTCATCTCCTAATGGTAGGGTAGTGATTCGATCGAGCTATGATGATACTCAACAGTGATCCTATGACAGAGCTAGGAGGATTCAATCCAAGAGAGCTGCCAACCTTGTAAATAGCTAGGTTAGTGGTTAGCTAGGTTAGTTAGTTTAGTTCTTCTAATCATTACTCTAGGTTGGCTAGATAGCGAACCATAAACCTGAAGTAGGGTAAGCCTAGATCCCCATGGTATGATAAATTATTATTTATTGCTTGCCCTATGCTACAACCGGTTGGTGGTTATACTTGGCCGGTGATTGGGATGTTGTAGTTAGAACGAGTCAAGTTTTTGGCTTCGTTGCCGGGGAGCCATTCTAGGTTATTTGACAAAGGGTTAGGTTGTTATCTTTTTTTTTGTGTTTTTGTCGTTGTAGGTTGAATCATGGATCCCAATGACTTCTACAACATGTGGGGGTATCTATAACCACCCGAATGGGGGTACCCTTGAGCTTCATGGAGTAACCAAAAAGTTGGAAGTCAAGGAACCGGATTCTATGAACAACCTCCCTTCCGAGAAGAAGAACCATACCAATGGGGATATGAAGAGGCTTCCCTATATAAAGAAGATTTCCCTCCACCACCCGAGGAGAAATCCAAGTTGGAGTTGTTCATGGAAGCCTTCATGGGACATTCCTCAAGACCATGCGCCACTCCACAACCGTTGCCTATGAGCGAGTTGGAGCTCATGGTGGAGTGGTTTTCTCGAGGCACCGATCAAGGGTGCTCGAACTTGGATCTCCCACAACCCGAAGAGAAGTCCAAATTGGAGCTTGCTATGGAGAATTTCAAAAGAGCATGCTCTTCTAACCCCTCCCTCCTCCCAGTTTGACACTAGAAGAGAAGGTGGCACGAACTTGTGCAAGCTATCGAATCTCATCATTGGAGAAGATAGAGGAGGGTGAAGAAGCTATCATTGAGAACCTTGTGGAGTAAGACGAACTCACCCCGGAGAGCTCTCATGGTGAGGATGAACAAGAAGGTTGCAGTGACGAATCTCATCACTTTCCCCTTCCCTAGAGAAAATTTGAAGACCAATTCACGAGTGTGGAGGAGCAAGAGAATACTTTCTATGATCTTGCATGGCATCTTGCCCTCCAAACCGTACTTGAAGACATGAATCGGAAGGAGGAAGAAGTGAGCGTTGGAGGAGGAAGGGAGCATTAAAGAAAAGGAAGATCTTGATTTTTTCCAAGGGGAGGAACGAATTAAAGAAAATGGAAGGGAGGTTGAGATTGAAGTATAAGGAGCAAGCGGAGTCCAAGCAATGAACAAGGTTGATTCGAGTCCAATTGTACACATTTTACCCCTCATTTCTTGATAGTTTGGCTTTGCATTTCATCGTCCCTCGACATAATTCATGCTAGGTTGTGCTTGTTTTGATACATTTCAGGTCCTAGCACGTGTGGAAGGGTCGAGGATGAGTTTCGGGACGATTGAAGGTCAAAAAGTGCAAAAACCAAAGAAAAGTCCAAAGAAACAGGAACCAGCCGCAGTTCACGTTCAGAGCTGATGGTTCACGGTCGCCAGGACCGTGAACTAGGACCACAAACAGTGAACAGTGAGGCATTCAGGGGGGGTTCTAGAGGTTACTGACGACAAGGCAGTTCACGGTCGCTAAGACCGTGATCTTTGAGCACAGACCGTGAACGCGGGAAGTGAAGCGGTGCATTTTGGCCACGACACCGAGTTCACGGACACGTTTAGGTGTTCACGGCCGTGAAATGGAAGGCCATGAACTGGGCGCTATCTCAGTATAAATGGAGAGCTGAAAGGAAGAAGAAGGGGGAGCTTCATTTTTAGGTTAGGTTTTCATTTTCAGAATTAAGAGGATTCCAGTGAGAGGTTAGGGTTTCTTCTAGAGTGAGAAAGTGCAAGTCAAAGGAGGAGAAAAAGGAGCTTTGGGCTTGTTCCGAGCTAGAGGATTGAAGATTTCTTCATCTCAAGGGTGTCCCAAGCAACAAGGAGGAAAGATTGGCATCACTTCATGGTTCTTTCTTACCCTTTTGTTGTTTTCTCTTGCTTAGCTATGGAATAGCCTACTTACTCACTTGGGTATTGTGAAACCTAGTCTCTGTTATGATGTAAGAACATGAACCTATTGTGTTGATTGAGTGTTTTATATGATATTTGAGGTATTATTCATAAATGGTTGAGTGTGCTAGCTTTAACTGAATATCGGATAAAATTTACCTAGAGGGTGGAAATCCCCTTTTGGTCCAATAGGAAGCTAGACTTGTTAGCCACTTGGGTAACCTTCTTTTGGTCGATTTAAGACCAAAATCTCAAGTGTTGGAGTAGGGCCGTGACTCCACCGGGATTGGTCTCTCCGCCAACCAGATTAAGTTCCGAGAGTTTGGGTTGCAATCCTTAGTCGGTTAGTTGAGAGGGTTAGGTTTCCTAGCCTATCGTTGTCACCCTTAGCCGAAAGGTAAGAGAGTTAGCTTTCTAACTTGTTGCCACGATTCTCGATTAGCTAACTAAGAGAGTTAGGGATCTGCCTAGTTGATCGGTAAGGAGGGCTAGGTTCCGTAGCTATGAATCACAATCCTTGACCTAACGCTTAAGAGAGCTAGTTCCCCTAGCTTATAGTTATTGATTTTCCTTCATTTATCGACTATGGGAGTTTTTTCCTACCTAGTTGCGCCCACCTTGCGGTGTATGAACACTTCCTTCACACTAGAGCTTTGTTTGTTGCTTCTTAGCATGAGATTAGGGGGAGCAATACCTAGGTGAAGTCCTCTCAAGTAGAATTTTCCTCCGTTTACTTTCCTTGCTTGTTTAGTTTGTAGTTTTCTTAGTTTTAAACCCAAAACTGTTTTGCTAGATAACAACTTAAACGATTGAAGTAGGGGTACATGGACCGGCCCGGGTTTGACAATTAAATACTTGCCCTATACTGCACCCAACTAGAGTTTAAAAACTTGGGCTCTAGTCAGGATTAATCTGCGGTGTAGTTTCGTGCGAGTCAAAGGTTGTGGTAGATGAAGCATCCACGAGTTACAAGAGTTATCAAAGCTTTCCACCGGACCTTGACGCGCTACTCGAGAAGGACCCATTTGCGGCTCTTTGTCAAGCCAAGACCAAACCATCGGTGATCCCTCTTGGTGGATGCGATGGAAGTTGATTGAGGTTGCATTACATGGGGTGGGGCAAAGAGAAGAAGGAAAAAGGAGAGGTCTCGTGGGTGGAGCCTCATGCTAAGTGAAGTTCACGAGCCCTCAATCATGTACTCGTCCAATGCTCGTGACTTGAGACATCACCTCACTGACGAGAACCTCAACTTCAAGGAGGTTCTTGGATGGACCGAAACTTGAAGAGCAACAGTCCGGCTTATGACGTTAAGAAGCGCTTGATGGGAGGCAACCCATTCCAACGGTTTGCATATCTTTTCCTTTCAATAAGAAGACAATTGGAGAGGTTTGGGTGGTGTTTTTCCATCTCCAAGCTCTTCCGGATCTTATCCGCCCTTCGCTCCCGATTGCTAACATTCACAACTTGACCGGTAACATCATTCTATCTCCTTATTTTACGCCATTGTGGGAAATGTCGAGCTAAAGTGTGTGTGTGGGGGGGGGGGGTAGTCTGTTATGCTTGTGTGTGTGAATGACTGGTGTGATTTTGAGTGCTTGGAGCCTAATTGTATGCCCAATTTTTTAAAATTTGAGGGCTCCAAGCATTCCATGATCAAAGTGGCCGGCTTGTGGGAGAATCCCATGTTTATTGAAATTGACCTTGAATTGTTTACTTGTGATCAAGTGCATCCTCTTATGATGACTGAGAATTGCATTAGGATAGTGCAAATGTTTAGTTCTCATGTGTGCGGAAATGAAGGGATGTCTTGACTTGATTACTCCTTGATTACAATTTCCATGCATTGAATTTGTGAATTGGAATAGATGATTGGGTGATTAGGTAGCCATGTGAATTTTGTGCCGATCGTCTTTTTCATGTGTGATAGATCCCTCTTACCACGGTGAGTAACATTCACTGTTGTCACTAGTGGTATGATGGAGGCATAGGATTAGTCCGCACCCAAAAGTTGATTGTCCCGAAACATTTTATTCCCTAGTCAAGCCTTTTGAGCTGTGTGACTTCGGGCCGTTCTCATTTAGTATCTTTTGCTTTTTTAGCTTAATTGAGATTGATAGAACGACCCTTTGCTCTCTTCGTGTCTAAACCATTATGAGTCATCCTTGTGACTCGGAGTTCTCATTTTTTAGCTCCATTGAGGTTCTACATAGGTGGATTTTGCACTGTTCTTGCTAGGAATGAAAAGGCAGTGTTGGAGGAAAGTTCTTAATAGAGAGCATTGTTCGTTAAGTGTAAAAATGGCATGTGTTTCGCTCTCTAGTACCCCTGGAAAAAAATAAGAAAAGGAAAGTAGAAAAAATAAAGTGGAAAAGAGGTAATAAACGGGGTTAATAAAGATAGAGAGTTTCCATGTGGAAATTATGTGTATGCTCTAGAAAGTGTTTCTTGGCACTCAAGCCATTGAAACACCTAATTGTTTATTGACCTCATTGAATTGTGGATAGCAAGATAGGCCAAAGAAGTGTGTTTGAATGTAGTTCATGAGTGGTAATGGTATGGAAGAAGGGAAGTGTGGTTTTTGGCCGATGCTAATGGCCTTTGTTTGAAGGAAAGGTTCTAGATGAAACCTTTGGAACTTTGGTTTTAGTTCTAAGATGTAGAACCTCATGCTTTGCTTGGCACCACCCGAAAGGCCTTTTCCCCATGTCCAAGACCCTTGCCAGTCATTTGAACCCGTGTCTAAGACCTCCGGAAAAGCTAGTGACGACAACCATCCCGTGATCTCTAGCATTTAGAGGTTGCCGCCATGGTGGAGAGACGATAGGGTTGAGTGTTGATGATTGTGCACATCATTTGCACCAAAATGTCCTGACCCCACTAGTCGAGAGTGAGTGTAACACCCTACCCTATACGTTTTGCCTAATCATATTGTTCATACAATTGCAGCGGAATTAATCTCGGGCGTTACATTAGTTATCAAAATTTACCCAAATAAAATTTCGACATGAATTACTCGCGTAATGGGCTAACAGTTCTTGCAACTTATCCTGCAAAATAATTCATCACAAACATATATACTCACAACCATATGCATTGGCTTTTCATAGCCATAGTCACACTTTTCATACTTCCTAACTGCATACCATACTTATACATACCATAATCGTCACAACTTACACAGTTACACAACATATACACATATCATTAACTTTCCACACCTGTGGATATCTCACACTACATTCGAAGCTAGTATGCACATGAAAATGTTCTCAAAACATTTTTACAAAAAGGTGTGGATCACTGGCCAAAATCCCAAGTAGTAGTCCAAGCACAGAATAGTTGAAGACCATACCTCATCCTGGCTTCAACTCTAGCTCCTCTCCCACCTAACACTTATCTACTGCTGCTGCTGATGATCTGCTTACACATAGCATAAGCAGAGAAGAAGAATAAAAGAGGGTCAGCTCATAGCTGAGTGAGATAATCATAGCATCGTGAGTTCATAACAGAGCATACCCCTATCATACATCTAACAATCAAACCAAAACACTAGGATCGGACCTCAGCCATCCTCATATCCCAATAGGCAAAAGACTCAACCACCTTGACTTATGCATATGCATCTTATCATGTTTTAATCATAGGCGCCTGGCTACTCCCATGCTAATAACTCTCCCGGGAAACATACCCCACATCCCGTCGGATGTAGTCATACATACCCCAACATCCCGTCGGATGTGGTCATACATACCCCACACCACTATGGGTGTAGTCATACCCCGACACCACTCTGGGTGTGGTCATATCTCGTAAGAATTCTTCAGTCACCACCACATGAGAGGTGTGACTATCATACATATCATAATAGAGTAATAGCATAGGGAGCCCTAATTACTATGTAGTTGACCGTGAGACCACAACATTCATATTTGGTATCCCTGTACATGATTCATATCTCATCTTGCTTAACCATAATTCATTACTTACACATGTACTTGACCTGACCATAATTGGCTCAACATAGGTAAATCAGGAGTCGTATAATTGCACTTCCTCGGGATAAACCCTCGTGCAAGTCATCCTCCTTAAAACATCATAATATCACCCTGGGAAGTTTATTCCCCCACTTATGGATCCAAATACAACCATAATATCACACCATGTCAAAACCCCTTATCGAACAACCATGAAGTCATATCAATAGTTAAGCCACAAATGGCAACATGTATGCAATCATCCACATAAACAAGGTTCATATCGATTAGGGCAAGTCAATAATATCATACAACAGTTGATGACTCGGTATTTGCACATGTTTACCCCTTTGTTTCTTGATTGTTTGAGCTTGAATTATTGCGTCTTTGGCCTATTTTATGCTAGGTTGTATTCCTTTGTCCCATTTCAGGTCCTAGCACATAAAGTGAAGCATAGGCGCAAGTTTCAAGTCAATCAGAGATCAATTGACGATTCGAGAGAAGAAACTCGGGCATGACCTGAAGAAGAATGGATTTCTACCTCACTTTATGGACAAAGAATCATGCAAGCTTGTTATGAAACGAAAGAGGACGAGACTACGAGCGTCTGGGATCAAACGGCGATTGATTCGGAGTCCGGACGAGGGAGAAACGAAGCATTAAACAGAGGCTGAGCAAGCTGCACGGGCAGACTAGGGAGGCTGCACGGGCAGACTAGGGAGGCTGCACGGCCGTGCACGTGAGCAATATGGCCGTGCGCCTTATGCCGAGGACACGCACGGGCAACCCCTGAAGCTCGCACGGCCGTGCACCCTGGCCGTGCGAGAGGGCTGAAGTTCGACTAAATGACACGCTGCGTTTTGAGTTGCACGGCCAGAATGGTGATATGCACGGCCGTGCACCCTGGCCGTGCGAGTCGGGATTTCCTGGTTTTAAGCCAAATTCCGAACCAAAGAAGAGGGAGAGCTGGGTTTTGGATCCCAAACACCCAAGGGACGAACCCTAGAGAGAGAGGGCGATTTGAGGGCATTCTTGGAGTAGAGAAGGAGGATTTCTTCGCCTTGGAAGCTTGAGGAACAAGCCCGGACTTGAAGACTGATCATCTGAAGATTCTTACTGCAGTCTCTCTCTTCTCTATGGAGTAACTTCCCTTCACTTAGGTTTTGAGGAACCCTAGCTATGTTTGTTTGATTGGATGATTGTATGAGTACTCTGACTGGATAATCTTGAGTTCATATTCAATCTATGCATGTTTTCATGATTCAATTCTGCTTTAGTCGAGATTATTGATTCTGCTTTGATTCTATGAGAGGGAATACCTGATTAGGTCAATAGAGCACCATAGATTGATAGTAGTGGATCGATTGCTTTAGTCGAGGGTTGATTCACTGCTTTGTATCGATTGAGAACCTCTTTCGATAGAGGGAGTCTAGTTCAGAACGCCTTGATCAGTTGTTCTAGAGAAGGATACGTCCCTCTAGGCAATTGACTCAAGAGGGCCTTGTTCCTTTAGTCGAGACTCAAGGTCTAGTCAAGGATTCTCCGCATTGTGAATGAAAGTGAAACAGGTTAGAGATCATCAATCGTTAATCTGGCTAGTGGCTAGGGGGAATCATACCTAAGTGAGTTCCCAACCTGTAATTAGATTAACTTTAACTGTAGTTTGCTAGAGTAGTTTTAGTTCTTTCATCTTAATCTGATTTGCTAAATAATAAACTGAAGCTGAGTAATAGTAACTCTAGAGACCCGTGGATTCGATATTTATCACTTGAGCCACTATACTGCAGTCCCTTTCATTGGTTACACTTGGCCTTTGTTAGGTGTTGTGTCGTAGCGAGTCAAGTTTTTGGCGCCGTTGCCGGGGACTTTCTAGTGTATTAGGAAAGGCAGAAGTTTGTTACTTTAGCGTTTTTCTTTTCTTTTCTTTTCCACCCTTGCTTTTCACTTGGGTGTTTTTGTTTTTGTTGGTGCAGATCTGAATCATGGATCCTAATGGCTTCTCCAATCATTGGGGGTATCCACCACCATCTGGGTGGTATTACCCCGAGACTCCCTGGAGCAATCAAGGCAGAGAAGACTATGGATTCGGGTTCCAGTACCAACCCCCTTACTACGGAGAACAACCGGACCCCTGGGCATATCAAGAACAACCTCATTATCAAGAAGAATTTCTCCCACAACCAGAAGGGCCATCGGCGCTGGAGTTACTCATGGAGCAGTATGCTCGAGATTGTGAGAGAACATGCTCCAGGATGGATCAGTGTGTCCAGGCCTATCGTGAAACAGATGAGATCCTCCTGAGCCTTAAGAAGAGCGTCGATGATCTTGAGCGATCTTGGGCGCAACCTGCTCCAGATCACCCTTCTGCTACCATACAAGAAGAGGAGGAGGAAGAAGAAGGCTACAAGGGCATTGTGGAACACACTGAAGTCGTCACGGAGAGCTCCCGTGATGATCATGATCAGGCCTGTCATGTCGTAGCCGACCACACCTTCCCACACCCCAAACTGAGCTTTGAAGAGGCGGGCATGAGTGAGGAGATGCAAGAAGATCTCATGAAAGAAATTGCTTGGCAACTTGCTCTCCAATCCGTGCTAGAAGAAGAAGAGCAAGAAAGGGTGCAGAAAGAAGTTGTGGAGGATGATGAAAGTGAAGCTAGAGGAGTTCTTGATCATTTCCCAGGGGTGATACCACATGAAGAAGGAAGGGAGGTTGAAGAGGCGATTGGCGTCCAGGCTGAGGACGAAGTTGAGGTGGAAGAGGCTTGCACCGGCCATGAGTTACATGTGATATCTCCACCAAACTTCGAGGAACTGCTTAGCAAGGACCCATTTGCAGTGTCTCTTTGCCAGACTAAGGCCACCTCGACATCGGTCCCTCTTGGTGGACGCGATGGTGGCCAATCGATGCTGTCATATCTGGTTTGGGGCAATGAGACGAGAGAAGAGAAGGAGAGGTCTCGAGGGTGGAGACTTCATCTGCATCAAGTACATGAGCCTTCATCACCTGCCACATCACATGCTCATGACTTGAGACTCCACCTCATCGACGAGAACCTCAACTTCAAGGAGGTTCTCTCATGGACCGAAACTTAGGAGCCATCGTCCGGCTCACGACGTGAAAGAAGCGCTTGTTGGGAGGCAACCCAACCAGTCGGTTTGCATCTCTTTCTCTATTTCTCTTCGGTTGAGTCAGTTTTGTTCTTTGATTTCAGAGTCAATAATTCAACCTTTGTGAGATTTTGTGTGGTGTTTGTGTTTCGACTACTTTGTCCTCCTGGAATGCACCGCCTTCCTCGTCCACAATCATTCACCGTTGATATGGTAACTTCGTTCTACCCTCCTTATCTTTCCTCCATTGAGGACAATGTCGTGCTTAAGTGTGGGGGGATGTTCGATTATGTATGTGTGTGAATGTTTGACTGTTTGTGTCTTGGAGCCTAGTCCACTGTCCAAATTTCGATTTGAGGGCTCCAAGTACGTGTTCCATGCAATTGCCTGCTCAGTATGCTTTGAATTGACAGTCTTTATAGTAATATGCAACCCAAGGAGGTAGTGTAGCACTATGGAGGATGTTGATGCATTTACGAAGTCTCATTTCTTCTTCATATTGAGTTGGTTGATTGAGTGAATTAGTGATCTTAGGACCCTTGAATTGTGTGGTGTTTTGGATTCTCTACCTGTCATGGACTCTTGTATCATGTTTTGAAAATAACAGGTGCTCGAAAATGTGCTTCAAAATAAACGTCTCCCGTGCGAATAGGGCGAAAGTGTGTAAGGGGAGACGGGAATTCGTTCCCAATTTCCACCTACTACCTCCAGCCCCCTTACATGTCTTTCCCCCGCACGAGGCTCGAGACATCCGCTCCTGGCATGGCCGGTAAGAGCAGGTTGGGACCCTTGAAAAAGAAAAGAAAAGAAAAATATCAGAAAACAAGCAAAACAGAAAAAAAGGGGTCTCAACCATCTTCAAGAAGCAGAAAATAGAGCACCTTGAAAAATGTGAGTCCATGATCTGTTGTTTTTGAGAATCTCCTCATCCACAATTCATTTGTCCTCTGTTCACTATTTGCCATGATGCCGACTCGCCGAAGAAGTTATGAGATGACTTGTGCGTCGGTTGACCTCGTAAGCTGCTAAATGATCTAGGAAGTCCTCTACCTACGATCTGGGTTGTTTGTTGCTATAGAGGTCTGAAGAGTTGCATTGGTTTGAGTTAGGTTTGCTTGGGGACAAGCAAACAGTTAAGTGTGGGGGGATTTGATGACTCGGTATTTGCACATGTTTACCTCTTTGTTTCTTGATTGTTTGAGCTTGAATTATTGCGTCTTTGGCCTATTTTATGCTAGGTTGTATTCCTTTGTCCCATTTCAGGTCCTAGCACATAAAGTGAAGCATAGGCGCAAGTTTCAAGTCAATCAGAGATCAATTGACGATTCGAGAGAAGAAACTCGGGCATGACCTGAAGAAGAATGGATTTCTACCTCACTTTATGGACAAAGAATCATGCAAGCTTGTTATGAAACGAAAGAGGACGAGACTACGAGCGTCTGGGATCAAACGGCGATTGATTCGGAGTCCGGACGAGGGAGAAACGAAGCATTAAACAGAGGCTGAGCAAGCTGCACGGGCAGACCAGGGAGGCTGCACGGCCGTGCACGTGAGCAATATGGCCGTGCGCCTTATGCCGAGGACACGCACGGGCAACCCCTGAAGCTCGCACGGCCGTGCACCCTGGCCGTGCAAGAGGGCTGAAGTTCGACTAAATGACACGCTGCGTTTTGAGTTGCACGGCCAGAATGGTGATATGCACGGCCGTGCACCCTGGCCGTGCGAGTCGGGATTTCCTGGTTTTAAGCCAAATTCCGAACCAAAGAAGAGGGAGAGCTGGGTTTTGGATCCCAAACACCCAAGGGACGAACCCTAGAGAGAGAGGGCGATTTGAGGGCATTCTTGGAGTAGAGAAGGAGGATTTCTTCGCCTTGGAAGCTTGAGGAACAAGCCCGGACTTGAAGACTGATCATCTGAAGATTCTTACTGCAGTCTCTCTCTTCTCTATGGAGTAACTTCCCTTCACTTAGGTTTTGAGGAACCCTAGCTATGTTTGTTTGATTGGATGATTGTATGAGTACTCTGACTGGATAATCTTGAGTTCATATTCAATCTATGCATGTTTTCATGATTCAATTCTACTTTAGTCGAGATTATTGATTCTGCTTTGATTCTATGAGAGGGAATACCTGATTAGGTCAATAGAGCACCATAGATTGATAGTAGTGGATCGATTGCTTTAGTCGAGGGTTGATTCACTGCTTTGTATCGATTGAGAACCTCTTTCGATAGAGGGAGTCTAGTTCAGAACGCCTTGATCAGTTGTTCTAGAGAAGGATACGTCCCTCTAGGCAATTGACTCAAGAGGGCCTTGTTCCTTTAGTCGAGACTCAAGGTCTAGTCAAGGATTCTCCGCATTGTGAATGAAAGTGAAACAGGTTAGAGATCATCAATCGTTAATCTGGCTAGTGGCTAGGGGGAATCATACCTAAGTGAGTTCCCAACCTGTAATTAGATTAACTTTAACTGTAGTTTGCTAGAGTAGTTTTAGTTCTTTCATCTTAATCTGATTTGCTAAATAATAAACTGAAGCTGAGTAATAGTAACTCTAGAGACCCGTGGATTCGATATTTATCACTTGAGCCACTATACTGCAGTCCCTTTCATTGGTTACACTTGGCCTTTGTTAGGTGTTGTGTCGTAGCGAGTCAACAGTCCAGGGTTTATCATATAGCACAAAAGTCCATACACCCCTAATCATGCCATTCTAGTTCACCTAGGTCAATTCTAAGCATTAATATAATTATCGTGATACGACAAACCCGGTATGCCGTGCTAATCCCTCACCAGTTCTGGTCGTTCAAACACCGGTTCTAGTCTCCCGTACTAAAACGTCAATTTCACGAACGAACCCCGAATTAAAATCCGAGACCGTCCTAATATCCCCTGCAGTATCCCCGTCAATATTAGTTCTAGGCTCCGGGTCAAATTCTCGATAAAAACACATCAAACCCTGGCCGGAGCTAAATTCAGCGGTTTGGACCCCGGCCTAAATAATAGCCGAAATTCAGGGATTAGAACTAGAGGATTGATTACCTCGCTGCAGGAAGCTCGTATATGAAATTTGGGCTCAATCCGGCTTCCGGATACTCCGAAACCCTAATTTGGCTGATCGGGAATTCAAGAAATTCCTGAACCAAAAACTCGTTTTAAAGCTCTAAATCGATAAAACACGATGTATAGATGAATTAGGCATTACTTACGGGATTTTTGGATCACTAGGGCTCAAGATTTTGAGCTTTGGAATTTTGGGTCGAGAGCTCCGCGCGTGCTCTGTTTCTCTCGTTTCTCTCGGAAATGGAAGAAGAAGGAAGAAATGGAAAATGAACGGTGGTGGTGGGGAAATTAAATGGACAGGATATATATATATATATATATATAAAAATTAATACGTATACTTATCCGATCGATCGATAATTCGATTTTCGCCGAAATAGTGTCGAAATGCTCGATTTTAAATCGCGAACTTTCTAACGATCGAAATATGGGTTTTAGCCGAAATGAGATGTTACAATTCTCCCCTCCTTAAAAGATTTCGTCCCCGAAATCTAACCTTGAGTCAAACTCTAACTCCTCTTACTTACCCTTAACTTGGTCTATCACACATAAAGTCATTACCTAACTCTTAGGTCAGGCAATTCATAACATAGAAGGTAACACATAACACCTCAAGTTCCCATGTTTAGGTTTCAAAAACCTATACTGGGCTATCACAACAAAAGCACGTCAGCAAGTTCAAAACATAACTTACTAAGCAAGATTGTTAACCTGTAAAGTAGGTTGCTACTAACTCAGGGTACTTCTCCCGCATACTTGCTTCAGTTTCCCATGTAGCACTCTCACTTTCTTGATTCCTCCACATAACCTTCAACATTGGAATTTCCTTCCTACGAAGATTCTTAATCTGAAAATCAACAATCTCAACTGGAACCTCTTCAAATGTCAAATCAGGACCCAACTCGATATCTTCTGGTTGTATCACATGGGAAGGATCCACTTTGTACCTCTTCAGCATACTAACATGAAATACATTGTGGATTTGAGATAGTTCTGGAGGCAATGCTAACTTATAAGCCACTGGTCCAATCTTCTCTGTGATTTCATAGGGACCAATATACCGAGGTGCAAGCTTTCCTTTCTTACCAAATCTCATCACCCCTTTCCATGGTGACACTTTGAGAAATACTTTCTCACCCACTTCGAAATTAACTTCACGCCTACTCGTGTCAACATAAACTTTCTGTCGATCTTGAGCCACCCTCAACCGCTCCCTGATTTCCTTGACCTTATCAACTGTGATCTGAACTATCTCTGGCCCTGAGATTTGCCTTGCTCCTTCTACATCCCAACATAATGGTGTTCTACATTTTCTCCCATAAAGTGCTTCATATGGTGGAACACCCAAACTACTATGGTACTGATTGTTGTAAGCAAACTCAATTAAGGGCAAATGGTCAATCCATGATTCCTCCCATTGCATTACACATGATCGAAGTAACTCCTCCAAGGTAAGGATGGTTCGTTCACTCTGCCCATCTGTTTGAGGATGATAAGCCGAAGTAAAATGTAATTTAGTTCCCAAGGCATCATGTAAACTTTGCCAAAACCGAGATGTGAAGCTCGGGTCTCGATCAGAGACAATAGAAATTGGCACACCATGCAATCTGACGATCTCCTTAATATATAGTTGAGACAAAGTCTCCAGTGATGGTTTCCACCTAATGGGTAAAAAGTGAGCCGATTTGGTTAGTCGGTCCACAATAACCCATACTGCATCCTTTCCCCTTGATGGTGGGAGACCATATACAAAATCCATTGTGATTCTTTCCCACTTCCATTCTGGAATTGGAAGTGGTTGCAGTTTTCCCACCGGAGCTTGATGTTCTGCCTTAACTTTCTGACATACCAGACATGTGAAAACATGTTCAGCCGCTTCCTTTTTCATCCCACGCCACCAAAAATATGGTTTGATCGTGTGATACATTTTAGTTGCTCCTGGGTGCATAGCATAAGCAGAAGAATGAGCTTCATCTAGGATCTCTTTCCTCAAGTTATCAACATTAGGAACACATGCTCTTCCATTAATCTTCAACATGCCATCTACCATTTCAAATGGGCTTTCTTTTCCTTCCTCAATGTCTTGAATGATTTTTACCAACTCTGGGTCCTCCTTCTGCTTCTCACGAATTTTGTCGTGCAACAATGGTCGAATGTTCAACCGAGCTAGTAACCCTGTCACACCATCCACTTCCAAATCCACATTCATTGCCCTCAAATCAACCAGATCATTTATATTCTTCTTCCCCTTTCTACTTAGGGCATCTGCAACTACATTAGCTTTACCTGGATGGTAATCAATGGTACAATCATAATCTTTCAACAACTCTATCCATCTCCTCTGGCGACTATTTAAATCCTTCTGATCCATAATATACTTCAAGCTTTTGTGATCAGTTAGAATTTTAAAAGTCTCACCATACAAATAATGTCGCCAAATCTTGAGAGCAAATACCACCGCTGCCAATTCTAAGTCATGAGTGGGATAATTTACTTCATGAGGACGCAATTGCCTAGAGGCATATGCGATAACTCTTCCATCTTGCATTAACACACAGCCCAATCCTTGATACGAGGCATCACTATACACC